TTGTAATACTTCAACCACTACTAGTAGCATTAAAAAAAATATACATTGACATTCCAAGCTATTCAATAGTAATTAAAATAACACTGCAACCACAATTAGGTTCGACATCAATTTGAATGAATTATGAATTAATAGAATAAATAAGATGATCTCATTTAAATGCAGCAATGCAACCAGTATCGAATATAGGTACTTCTGCATTCCAAACTATTATTGGACACGTAATAATTTAGGTATTATAATCAAATTGAAAGCTGCCTACTTGTTAATCCATATCATATTGACGAGTAACAATTGTACTAAATCCTGCCACTTGCTGTTCATCACATGCAATTGGGAAATAGCAGGATCCTGAATTCCCGAGTTCATCAGATCTTTCAGTAAGATTCTAAAGATCTATCAAACGATACCATTTGCGTCACAGCAGATTTTTATATTAGTATCTCGTTCTTCTTTTTTCTTTTCTTTTCATCTGCTTGCAGTCATCAACATAGATCTATATCGATGAGTTGTGGATTATGTTTTCTTCAGTTCGAATTCATAGAATTGTATTTTTCCACTGTGAGTGTTGCGATTGCGCCGATTTCTTAGTTCATCCATCAAAACATGAAAATAGTTTCTGCTTAAGAGTCCTAAGTACATATTTGCATCAATGAATTTCTTTTATAAACGACTAAACTTCGAAATTCTTTCATACTTAGTGATCATATTATACGTAGTATTTCAATGCTCGAACATGTTGAAATCAGTTTTTATGAGAGCTGTACAATATTTTTCAAAAGGAAACAGTATCTATTATTTCAGATCATTCACATCACAGAAAATGAAATGCTCACAAGCGAGAAATCATTCATCCATTTCTACCTTGATAAGTAGAAATTCTATGATTGCATGTGGTGTGAATCATTTTTGCATAGAATGGAATAATTTCGCCATCGATCGATCCAACTGTCTATGGCTGTTGAATTTTGCGGTCATCCATGTAAGAATGATCTCTGCGCCTATCTGAACAGGTGACTACTGATCTCTAGGAAGTGACATATGAGCCCAAATAGTTTTTTGCCAAATCTGTAATACGAATGTACTAGCAAAGCATAAGCAATGAACATGTTGAATTGATAATTCGGTCATTTTTACTTGAACAATTAAACAAAATGTTAATTTATTACGATTCAATTTAAGGAAATGAATATTAAAACAAGGGCATTGTCTTACTAAGAGTCAGTTTTGCTAATCGCATGACTCGAGAGATTATCGATAGCTTCAGCAGAGCGATCGAAAATCATTAAAAAATAAATTATCGGGCTGATACAGATAATTTAGCAAACGTAAATAATTTAAAACGCTATGAAAGGTCGGTCGCCATGAAGAATATCTAGTTTTCAAAAACTAGACCGGTGATGACTCGATCAAAGACTTACAGTGAATTCTTTTGTTGGATGACGCAAGTACATTTGACATGAAGGACACTTCTCTTACGAATTATACACAGGAGTATAGTTTCATAGTACTACTTGCTGCATCAAAATTTTATCGAATAAATTCTATTTATCTTGTATTTGTTCGTTTTGTACAAATATTTTTTATCTCATCAATTCAAGTATATTCAAAAAGCATCATGATTTCCATTGAAAGCTGAATGCTAACATTAACCAAGAGTTTCATTATTTATAGAAATCTCGAGTAGTCTTATTTATATTAGGCGACATTTATAGCGATGAAGATTCACGTTGATGAGAAAGCCAGTTGGAAAAATCTCATAGATTAAGAAAAATCATAAGACGAAGTCTGATTGATCGAGAGTACCGTGAAAAAAAACTCATTTGTCTGGAAAATACCTGTTAAGATTGTATCTATACATTTCTCTTTTCATTTACCTATTTGTGCTCCAACCAGATTTTGAACAGCGACAACAGTTACTGATTTGAGACTCTTTTCTCCAAGGAAAAGAATGCGTTTGTCTTTACAATTTTGATTAGTATCTAATGTTTTTTCATGTTGTTCAATTGTGTTTCTATCGTCTCGATGTTTTTGCTTATCCTTTTGTGCAATGGATAACTTTTCTGATCAAAATAATATTTTACATGCAATAGAGATAAATGAAAAATGAAATTCCGAAGAAAGAATTCAATAAAAAAAGGGCTATAAAATAAATCTGAAGAGCGATAAAATCTGAAATATTATTCATTATAAACAATGAAATTTGAATCCATTTACAAAATACTCAAGTTTACTTATGACATCGACCTCTCTTTTGGCCAATACATGTGTAAATCATCGCATTTCCTTCTCTTGCACGATTGAGAAAGGTGCATGAGTCAGAATATGAATGAAGAAAAAGTAGATCATTTCTTTATTCATAACCCACTTCTCTTTCTCTCTCAGGTATTGCTTTTCACTTTCTGAATCACAAGAAAAGAGAATAACAACTACCGCGTTATTGCTTCATACATGTGCAATTGATACAAGCAAAAGAAAACACAAATTTTGCATTCATTTACGGTAAGAATATACTATTATTAACAGGATGATGATGTTTTTTTTTAATCAGTTTTATGAATTATAAGACAAATATCTATATGAAGAGGATGAAAAACACATCGAATATAAATAAAAAAAAGCAGCGGATTCGTGTTATTTTGCTGCTTGAACTATATTTGTAATGATTGTTTAATGCAGAAGGTGTCATTCTGTATTCATATGATACTGCGTATAGTATTCACGGTTCAGACATTTTTTCGTACAAATTCATCTTTCAACTTTCTACCAAATAGTTTATTTTTCATATATGTAAAAATTTCTATGATTCTTCGAGATATAGTATAAAAGAAAAGTCGAATATAAAACAATTTCTAAGAACAAATTTTAGTCGAATTTTCAATTGCACGTTTCAGTTGTACTATAAGTATATCTTTTGATATGCTTATCAACCAAACGGTGGATGTAGAAAATTTCTTAAAGAAAAAAAGGTTCAAAATTCAAGCAGAAACTATGTGGTGGTCAATGTTTCTCTTGGTGATGACAGAGGGAAAAACTGCTTTGTCATCATTATTGTGTTAACTGATGAATATGAAGTTACGTACTGTCCTGTTGAAATAGCAAGTTATTACGTTACATTAAGAAAAAAATTAACGATAAAATGAGCACGGAAATTATATTTTTGATGTGCCGTTGGAATTCAGCTTTCTATATCAAATAAGGACACACAGAAACTGACAACCACAATTAAATAGGTAGAGGAGAGACAACAAAATGAACGTCATCCATTCATACAACCTTCATCGTGCTGTAAGTTTTTAACATCCGAACATAGTAATTATGAGTTGTCGTGGTTGAAGATCGAAAGAAGAATAAAGAGTTTTCCTTTTTATCTTGTTCCAAAAAACTGGTATCAGTAAGCAGCTTAACAATGATAATCTATCATGCTTCTGGCGTTTTATTTTGATCAATCAAGATATTGATACACATTGATTTCTAGACTATAATGAGTAGTCCAGAAGCACTGACTTATTTTCTACAATAAATACTTTGGTAGAACTATCCTTATAGAGAAAACCTACAGTAAAACAAGCTCTTCAAAATGAGTATAAATCAATCTGTCAATCTCATTTAGTAAGAAAAAAATGAGTCTAGAAAAGTCTATTATATTTCAAAGCAAATGGAGCATTTATATTCTACTCATTAATAGTGAAATAGTAGAGTAAGCACAACTTAACTAATAGATTTGTATTGCAAAACTACTTTTGAATTCTTTTGTGGCGGATTGAACCTCTAGTGTGTTGAGCGAATACAACTGGTAGCGCACATTAATTCTGTCTTTGAAATCAAAGAATCTTAACTACTTAGGGCAATCCAAAAGTTCTTTCGTCCTTATCTTTTTTTCTTATAGAAAGCTTTAAAAAATTTTCTTTTTTTATGAACAGATAGAGAGTCTTTTGTTCTATGTTTCTATGCTATTTGATCATTATTCCACTAATATCATAATAAAAAAATTTCGATAAGAACTGTTTTTATTGAAAACTAGCTGGTGGCATTAGATCTTAACGGGTCGGACACTTTTGCATTTCACTTTATTATCACTTAATACGTTGTATTAAAAAAACAAAACATGCCACAAGATGCAGCGTGAAAAGCTCTACAATTTACATAAGATCACTTATTTTATAGTTGCACTTTTTGTTTTCAAAAATGGACAAAACTCTGAGCGTGCAAATTTCGACGCTGCACAAACGAAATTTTTTT